GTTGCTCAGATTTCAGCCATTCAGGAGAGGTAATAGACTCAGAATCGAAGGAGGCAAGTAAGCAGAGCGCTACCTAGGGCGCCTTCGTGATGATGGCGCTCAACATGGGAACTTGAGCAAGCACCCCTCCAAGAGGCGTCCCCGTTCCTTAGTCGCTCATGCAGTTGCGGTAGGCAGCTGAGCTTCTATAGCCTAGTATAGGCTGGGGATCTGCTCTTCGATTAACTTTCTGAATGGGAATGGTCTATGAGGTGCTTGGTAACGGAATGGCGTGAGCCCGGCCCGTATGAACAGCGCGTCCCCTTATGGTGCAAGCAGATGCCAGAAGGCCGGGGGGGGCTGGGTGCCCGGTACAATGACCGGGCTGAGTTGGGCTGGAATGCAAGGTCGCGCCAACTGGCGGGCCCCTAACTTCCTAAGTTGGGTAACAGACTAACAGTCTTAAAACAGCTAGAGGCCTCCGACTCCGAGTCGAGATATTTGCACTGCGCCGGCGTCGGTACCGACCGGGCGTGAACCCTGCACCTGGACGAAGAAGCTACCGTAGGTAGCAGGTAGGTATGCCGGCCGTGGACAGGGAGCACGAGAGATCGACACAGGTAGGATACCCAAAACCTGTGCGGTCGGTATCGAGCCGAGCTGCAGGTACGGTACCAACAAGGCCTAGTCTCTAGAGCTCTGACGGGTCTGACTCTGACCACAGGCCTAGCCGCACTTCCCGGAGATATCCTCAATTCTGACGAATCAGAACACTGCAATTACGATTCGTAGTATCCCCGGGCGATGGGATCAGAGGGATCGAGCTCCCGCGAGCCACCCGGGGGAAGCAAAAATCTGACGGGTGAATGTAATACCACTCGGCAGAGCACCGTACCTACTCAGACTGGTGCTCACTGTTCACTGTTCACTGTTCAGCCTTGGCTTCAGTTCACTGTGCAGTGACGAGTACCGGTACCGGAGATTTGGATCAGCTGTTGTTGCAGGATCCATTTCAAGGTCAAATCTGCACCCAGGGGGCGCTACAGTTCCGTCGCTCCTCTTTCCTTCTTTCCGCAGCACATCATGGGTGAGTTCAGAGCGTTTGTGGGCGGGCTGGCCTGGGCCACTGATGACAGGGCGTTGGAGCAGGCCTTCAGCCGCTTCGGCCAGGTCCTGGAGTCCAAGGTGCGCTACATCTGCCTCCTCAAAGCCTTGACCATTACCGCTGGTGCTCGAGCTTTGTAAAGCTTGGGCTGTCTCCGCTGCTCATGGTGGTCAACTGCTGTTATTGCTCGTAAAGGCTGGTTTGTGCTTACTGCGAACAAGCCCAAGATGGTTCCACCTTCAAGAAGTTTGTTGTTTTGTAGTCTTCCATGCCCCTTTTGGTTATGCTTTAATATAGGATCAATTTATACAATGGTATACATCAGTGCTCTCTGCATGGGTATTGCCGCTGTCACCTGCAACCATTTAAGCAGCGGCAATGGTTTGCCAATTGGTGCAGGGATTGGAGACCATACTCCATGCACAGTGCTGTATTGTAATTCGGCTTCCTCATCCTTTGACATCCTGCCTTTCATGGTCCTGCCAGGTCATCAGTGACCGCGAGACTGGGAGGTCACGTGGTTTTGGCTTCGTCACTTTTGCCGACGAGAACGCTTTGAACGCTGCCATCACTGAGATGAACGGCTCTGAGTTGGAGGGCCGCCAGATCACCGTGAACCAGGCGCAGTCTCGCTCCGGCGGCGGCGGCGGCGGCGGCCGTGGCGGCGGCTATGGCGGAGGTCGCGGAGGCTATGGCGGCGGTGGTTATGGCGGCGGCGGCGGCGGCTATGGTGCCGGCGGCGGCGGCTACGGTGGACAGGGTGGCTATGGTGGACAGGGTGGCGGCCAGGGTGGCTATGGTGGCCGTGGCGGCGGTGGCGGTGGGCAAGGCTGGTAATGGATGAGCGCGCAGAGGCAGAGGAAGGGGAGGATGGCTGGATCAGGTGTAGGAGGAGTAAAAGAATGAATGCAGAATGACTTTGTGACCTTGTCTTGGGTATCTGCTACAAGAGGCTGACATGCGAGGCAGGAGCTGGGCAACCCCTGCAAGCAACACACTCCGCTAGGGTTCAGAGTTTGGTACCACGCAATATTCGCTGTCTGCCTAGTGCAGCGGCCTAGGTTTTGTCTCGTCCTTTCTGTGATCAAGTTTTGGTCGATAATTATGGTGCCAGCAGAAAAGGTTGGCAAGTTATCATGTCAGGTTTTGTTTCTCTGAGACCCGGTTGAGACGAAGCGCTGTTGGCAAGCCAGAGCAGAGTTGGCCAGAAGAATCGACTTAGAATCAAGCACAGAACTTCTTTCGGAAGAGGGTCACTAGTATCTTGCGTCAATGCCGTTCGCTTTCTTGCAATGAATTCTCAAGACTCTCTAGTTAGCCTGGTTCGATTGTCTTGTGACTACGCAGATTGTATCGATGAATAAGTGGGCAAGCAAATTGAGTGTTCAGAGTTCTCGCCAATCCTCTTGGAGCATCTCCAAGTTGCCCTCCCCAAGCTCGTGTGGCATGCATTTGCCCTTGACTTCTGATCTGTTAGTATCTCATGATTAGCATGCACAACCTATGGATCTGATTAGATGGACCGCCCAGATGCCTTCTGTATGGTTTGCCAGGTCTCAGGTTTTTGAGCATTGGGCATCCTCGGGAAACCCTGTTTGCTTGTATCTTTCTCTCTTTTCCAAATAATATAGGCTGTATTTTGATTTGAGCGCCGACCGTTAGTGCACTAAGGCCCAAATGCTTTAGATAATTAAGTATATTTCAAGTGTACCTGTTGACACACCATCTGCCATGCATATCTGTCTATTATTGCTTTCATACACTTGATTGGTGACCATGCATGCTGCTTACCTTGTGAGTCGCTAGAAGCTTAGCACGTGGAGTATGTACTTTGAATCTTTTAGTACTCACTCCAGCCATGAGCATATAATCATGTATTTGTTGCAAAGAACAGCATGTATTGAACTACTCGATATGACAAAGTTTCTTTCCCGATCCAAGCAACTGTCACTTGCCAAATTATAGCATGCACAGCTACTGCATTTGCAGGATGGCATGCAGCTCACTTCATCGTGATCCCTCCTCCGGCTCTAGCTCACATTATACACGATGTCAAATGTTTCCATCCCCGGCCCCAACGCTTCTGTTCTCAACATGCTCGTGTAATGTGCGCACTTGTGAAGTGAAGTATGGTCCATCGCTCCATCTGGGCGGCTCCGCTCCAGCTGCATACCTGTCCTGAGCAAGTGGCCGCCAAAGACACTTGGGGCCTCGTACGGCCATCCTCCACTTCGACCTTTCTGTGGGCCGTTGCCTGCTACCCGCCACTCTGCGAGTTTACACCGCGGTGGTGAGGGTGCGTTTGAGGGCCACCATGTCCGCGTTCAGGTTGATCCTGCACGACAGCCACCACAAGTTCGTCAAAAGGAGTCTTTCTGTCTTGACTCGTCTGCATGCGTTCCCCGACATCCGAGCTTTCGCCCCATTACGCTTTCCTGGAGCACCCCGCCTCCTGCTGTCCGCCTCCATGCAAGCACCAGCATTGTGCTGTGGCAACGGGAGTCGGTCTCCTGAGGAGCCGTTACCTGAGGAGCGGTGCCGCGGCGGCAGTGGCCGTGGGGGAGGAGAGGAACGTGGGGGCGAGGTCGCGCAGGAGGGCCAGCTGCTCCAGCACCTCGCCTGCACGCAGCACGCAGGTGGAGCTCAGGACAGCGTGCCGCAAGGGGCCGCAGAGCAGGCCGAGCGGCAGCCGCGCTGTGGGTTGAACCACTCAAATAGCTCGACGACTTCTGATTGCGGTCCAAGCAAGAACTCATCTGAGGCACGAGTTGGCCACACTGCCGGGCGCCGAGTCTGGCTGTGCGGGCCGCGCTAGGGCTCACCCTGGTCGGTGAGGCGCGGGTGCGCGCGCACGAGGCGCGCCAGCAGCTGCTCCTGCCGCAGCACGCAGCGGCCCTCCTCCTGGGCCACGGACCTGCGCACCCCAGCAAGCGCGGCCCGCGTCACCAACGTGGACCACGGCAATTGAGGCAGCCGCGATGGCAAGCATGCGCGCGCAGTATCCATCACGGACAGCGTGGGCGTCACTGCTACGCATAGCCCATGGTGGTAGAAAAGTAGAATCTCCATCTGCAGTGAAGCTGGGGAGGACGAAACGTACTACAACGATGGCGACTGAATATCCAGCCAGTTTAGCCACCTGGATGACCTGCTTGATCCTCGCACACTTTGAGCGGACAACTGGGGCACCCTGGAAGACTCGAGTGTGCAGAAGCCACGGCTTGCCATAAGGTTACACCGTTTGCTTCCATCGTCCAACATCGTCGGTCGGGGCCCTGCGGTCAAACTGAACGGCATGGCGCTGACTGAGCGAAAAACCTGTTCTGCTTTCAGCTATCGACGCAAACGCGTTCGGGTCCCGTTCGGGTGTGTGCCTCGAACAGTTTCGAGACCTCCCGCAGGCAGCCCCCCATGTCCTCCTCGGCGCTGCTCACCTGAGCAGGTTGACCAGGCCCGGCAGCTGGGCGAGCATCCTCCGCCGCCTGCGCTGCGCCATGGCCGCCGCACCGTTGTCCGCCTCCTGCCGCCGCTGCTTGGCCGCCACCTGCAGCACGGCCGCCCACACCGTCAGGCGCCGAGGCCCCGACAGGCGCATACCGATCGGGCCGACGACCCGGCTCCACACCTGGCCAGGAACAATGCAGCCGCAGGGCGCAGGGGACTCGCTGTGCGTGGGCTGCTGTGGGGCTCACCTGCCGCAGGATGTCGAGGGGCACTCCCTGCAGGCTGGCCGCTGCTGCCTCCCCGCCCGCTGGCAGCCACACTGTGGGCGACGCGGCAGCCCCGCTCTCGCACCCCGCACTTTCAATGACCCGGCAGTCGCTGTCTGTTGCACTCGAGGTGGATGTCTGCTTGCCTCGACTGGACCCGCCCCTGCTGTCTATACAGTACGGGTTACTGTGCGTACGGCCAGCGGCCCCTTGCTCCTCTGTGGCGCCACTGGGCTCGTGTCTCTCTCGCGCGCTGGGCTCCTCGCCTGGCCCGCTGGCCCTCAGCCTGCGGCTCCCTTTCCTGCCCATGTCACCCCGTGCGTCGCCTGTGGTCCCTGCGACCAGGTCAAACGTGGCCGCCAAGGAGCGCGGGGTGGGCGGCCCTGCCACTCGCGTCGGCCGCGGCTCCAGGGGCCCAAAGGGGCTGCCGGCGTGGCCCGAGGAGGGGGAGCGCGCTGCTGGGTCCACTGCCAGCTCGGAGCTGGGGGAGCAGGCAGCGCTGGCAGGGGCAGTCGCCGGGCAGGGGGCTGCGCGCGAGCCGGGAGGAGAGGGGAGGGGGGCGCACGGGATGTCGGGGACCTGCCAGCAACACTGACAGACATGGGTCGACAGTCTGCGGCTCAGTGGTGATAATGCACAGTCCAAAGGATGCAAGCAGGGAGGCGCGTTCATTGCTGGGTGCTCCTCCCACCCCTCTCGCCAGTGGCAATCTCCTGCAATGCTGTGGCCCTGCATGCTCAATCCGGCAGCAGTGCTGCCCCGCTGGCGCGGGCCCCACCTGGTCGAGGTCGAAGGCGGGGTGCCAGCCGTGCGTGTCAGGAAGGGCGTGCTGGTGCAGGAAGGAGCGGTGTGCTGTCTCCGCTGCGCGCCTCAGCCGCTCTCGGAACGCCTGCACCCGCCGCTGGCTCTGCTCCTGCAGGGCGGACGGGCCGCATGATGGGACGAGGGCGGGGTCTGCACCACCAGAAGAAGGGGCTCAATTTTCTGAGGCTGACGCATGTTCAGCCAATCCGGCAGGTTGCAGAGGCGCAGGCCCATGGCCGTTGCGCAACAAGGCATGGGCAGCAGGTCCACCTGCTCCTAAGATGCCAATCTGGAGTAGATATCTGGTATCTCCTCCCCCCACGCTCACCTCTGTCTGGCTGCGCACCCTGGTCTGGGGTGACGGCAGCGGGCGGGACGGGCTGCAGCAGGATGCGCAGCTCCCACTTGGCTCCAGGGGGTGTCTGCGCGTCCGTGAGCAGGCCCGTCCCAGCGCAGGCGGGGGCGGGGCGGCGCGCAGGCATGTAGTGCAGGGTGAACGCGTCAGGGTGCACACCCACCAGCTGGGCGAGCAGGGGCAGGGTGAAGCGCCTGCACGCAGCAACAGGTGAGGCCAGGGGAGGGGGCAGCGGGCCAAAGCAGCCAGAGCGGCGCTGGGCTGCCAATGTGGAACCGCGAATGGTAAGGAAGTAGCAGAAGCACGAGAGGGCAAGTGTGGGGAGGGCACTGCACTGAGAGGGATCACGCAGTGAAGGTCGTGGGGACAAGGCGCCCATGTCTCGGTCTGGCCGGGTATCACCCATGCAGAGCACCGCTTCATAATGCGAGTGTTGCTCACCTGCCGGTCGTATCCTCTAGCGGTTTCCTGACGTTCTCAAAGGTGCACGCCTTCTTTCTCGACGCCAGCAAGCTGCACACGCCCTCCAACTTGCGGAAGAGCGCCTCCAACTGAGCGTACCTGCACGCAACGCGCAGCCACTTCAGATGCGCCTTGCCGTACACGCAGCCAGCGCCGCTGCTCCCCGGGCCATGCAGAGAAAGTTGCCGGACGTCCACGTTGGGACCCACCACATCGCCTCCTGGGCTTGGAGCCCTGCACAACTAGACAGAAGCACAGAGTAGGCGCGGCATGCTCATGCACGCGCGGGTGATGAATCAAGGACGCCAAGTGGGAGGGCAACAGCCGGCTCACTTTGGTGGCAGCGGCCGGCCAGTTTGTTTGCCGGATGCTTCGCCTGGGCCCCGTGCACCCTTCCTTCTCTTGGCCTGGACTGGTGAAACAGCAGCGCCGACTTGTGCCGCTGTGCGCTTGGGCTCCTGCCGGGTAGACGTGCGTGGGGCCGTTGCAGCACCTGGGGGGGAACTGCCCAGCGTCTGCTGCAGCTCCAAGGCCATCGCCGCCAGCTTGCCGCCCGCCCGCACCTGGACACAGAGGCGGAGAGCGCTTACCATGGGAGGGGCCACTGGAGCAACATAAAAACATGCCCCAAACACGCACCCAACTCTCAATGTAAAGGCTACTGGGTCAGCAGAGATTGTTCTAGCAGATCTACAAGTGCAAGGCATAGTGGTGGAACTTCAAAAGGAAATCAACTCAAGGAGGGGCCTACTGCACCCATACACAGCGATGGATTGCTAAACCCAGTCATTGATGCCTTCAACAAGCCACAAACGTTGTCGTCTTTTCATCTCTGGTCCTTGAGCACCTCCCACTGCAAGCAGTGAACGCCCGTGGGCAGTGTTCCTCACCCTGCTCTTGACACTCCTCCAGTTTGCAAACTGGTCTGGCACTTCCCCGCCGGCTGCAATAATGCCCTTCTGCTCAGCGGCAGCGGCAGCCATCAGGGCGCCCCTTCCTTTACGGCGCAAGGGGGACTTCGGTGGTGACTGCGCCGCAGCGTGGGCAGCCATCCCTGGGGAATGGCCCTCACGAGATGGCAGAGGTGCTCTACTTGACGGCGGTGCCATTTAATGGCAGATGATAAGGTGGGGGATGTATCTGGGACAGGACGTCACTTTGACCACTTCTAAAATGAACAATGTCTGGGCCGTTCCGCTAATGCAGCCCTCGGACCCAGTTTCTCAGCAACTGCAACGCAGCAAGAGGTCGTCTTCTAGTCAGATGACGAAGGTACTCCAACTTGCGACCAGCAGTGCTATGGCGACGCAGGATGTGTCAAGACTCATGTCATGTCACAAGCGGTGAAGATGCTGCCCGCCAAAGTAAACTTGCCTCTTTCAGAGCCTGCATCCTCCTATTAAACTGGAGTGTTTGGAGCTTCTTGGTTCAAGTAAAGTCTCCCTGCATATTATAAGTTAGGCCCCTCTTCCATCTAGCGGTCGGTCTTCCTTTCCTAAGTTCCCATTGGCCAAAACCCCCTTTTAATTAATAATACTAATACTAATAATAGTATACTAATACTATATAGTATTATTATATATATATAATATTACAATAACGGGAACAACACGCTTAAATATCCACGTGTTATTAGTGCCTAGGATGCTTTTTTACGCTGTTTTTATCCATCTAATACCATCCAACTACCTCCGAAAAGCACGGGCGGAGTGTACATTGAGACCCCTCACATATTTAACCGTTACCACCCACCATAACCCTATTTTTAACCAATATTTAACCCCATTCCGAGCACGTATATATTTTAACGGAGTCCTGGATCCCGCTAAAATATATACGTGCTCCAAGTCCACATTAAAATCCCTATTTGTAAGCAGTAATTAACCCCACTCCTAGCACGTATATATTTTAAGTGAATCCAGGACTCCGCTAAAATATTCACGTGCTCCGAGTCCTCAGAAAAAAAATTTGAATTTTATCCAGGGTGGGCGGGTGGGGCAGTATAATATATTTAATAAGGATTAAATTTCCTTCATTTGACGTCTTCCTGAATCCCCCACCAAAACCCCTACAGAATCTCTGGCTGATATCCTCACAAAAAAAATTTGAATTTCTCCCAGGGCGGGCGGGTAGGGTCGGTATATTGTCTTTCATCTGGATCTTTTTCAAGTCTTTTTGAATCCTGCACTTTATCACTTCAAAATCATCCTCCCGAATCCTCCAAAAAAAAATTTGAATTTTACTGCAGATTTAACTCCGTCTTATTACCCCAACGCGATCATATACAATGTCTCCGTCAACAGTTGCTCATCGTGTTTTAAGCAATAGTCTTCCAACTGATATATGTTTACATATTATCGAATTGGTTTTTGGAGTCAACGAAGAAGACTTGTTTAAGCGATTTCGAGACCTATTCAATGATGCCGAACAATCGTACGATTACCGAAAAAAATTAATGGATGACATGATGGCAGACAATTTTCCACCTCATGTTATCAAGAATCATTACAACCGTCTTATTAAATTACCTTACCTGGTGGACGATGGTGATTTTGGATACTATTTGAGTATATTTGCGTCACCAGAAACTGATAGATTCTTCACAGTTCCACGCTGGTTTCTTCGTATATAAGACGGGTGGATAGGTATCACTATATTGAAAGCTTGATCGGTTATTACCTTGAATAGAGTGTATTATCTGACTTAAGATACTTATTCGGATAGGAAATCTAATCATCTTTCAGTCCTTCTTCGTCTTGGCGTTTGTTTTTTTAGTAGGTGTTTTCTTTTTATTAGAAGTGAAAAGTTCATCGAGTTTGGATTCCAGCATATCGACCTCGTCTTCCGCATCTTTTAACTGTTGTTTCAGTTCGTCTCGTCGCTTCACAGCCACCTGGTATCTGTTGATCGTCTTGTTTATAATTCTTTCCCTTGGCGACAATCCTCTTTCCGTACCCATGTCTGAACTCTCTGCTTTTTGCGTGGTCTGATCTGGTGTCTTCGGTGGTGATGGTGACGGTGATGGTTCGACCTTCTCTTTACCTTTTGACTCTTTCTTCTGCTCCGTCGTTTTCAGATTGGCGATGGGAATGTTTTCTTCATCATCAGAGTCAAAGTCGTATTCTTCATCCTCGTCTAGATCTTGATAACCCATCTGAGACGGGATTGAATGCCCCATTCTCATACCTAGCTTTCTTCGCTCCGCTATCGATGCTTTTGGATTCTTCCTTAACCACCACGTAATGTACTTACGGCGGAGGATGTTTGCACCTATGTTTTGACTTGAGTCGATTTCCTTCTTCTTTCCACGTACTATAAGATTGAAGACATCTACTACTTTTCCCGATAAACCTGCTGGAGTATAAGTTACGTTTATAGGTTTGTCATTTTTTTGTTTGCAAAGTAGGTACTTCCTCGGAAACGTCTCGTAACTTTTGATGATTGCTTGAGCCAGTTTCGAACCATAACCTTTCCCGAGAACTTCTTGATATACACCTAGCGTATCAAGAGCACTTTTCTTATATTTTCCGATTCGCATCGTGACTTGCCCATTCTTTTTGTCAATTTCCATCTTGTTATATTCCACGGATGCCGTGAATGCTTCATGATTGTCATAAAGTACTACTTTGACAAAATCTTCGATACGACGCGGAGGGATGTCTGTATAAAGCAAAGATAGTATACAATGCATTGAGTCGTTCCAATCAGAATCATGCTCATACCCTTCGTTGACTTTATCCACTTTGCGAGCGAAAGTTTCCCATGATAGAATACGTCCGTTATACATAACCTTGGACGACTTGTGTCCAACGTTATCATTCTTTACCCTCTCATGTTCTTTCGAACCTGCATCCATTAGTTTGCTATAGAACAGCAGCACTTCGTGGCTCAACCCACCGTCCCCCACTACAAGGAATTTATCGATCACGCTTTTGAACGTTGTGAAGAATGTAGTCTGAGAGCTTTTAGCATACCATTCGGTAATAATCTTATAAATCTGCTTGGTCTTACTGAAAAACTCATATGCATTCTGTGACTTCCATATTTCGGTTGGAGGTGGTTTCTTCGCTTTTGCCCTCTTTGGAGGTGGCTTGTTCGGATCTTCTTTTTTGGTTCTCTGACCCTTCTTACGGTTGTCATAAACGATTTGTGCAAGTGCTCTGATACGAATCTCGTAACTTTCACCTGTATTGTCAGACAATATCGCTCCTGATGTCAAGTCCTCACACAATTGCTCTAGAGTGTAATCTGGATATACCATTCTGCCTGCCTTATATATTTTAAGAGCATATAATTCTGGGCAGAATTCGATTTTTTTTCCAGACGAGCATTCAAAACAGAAAATATATTCTCATCTAATTACAAATGACTACATGCAAAATCTGTTCAGACTTTGAATCCCTGAGACGTGAATATTTAAAACAATGCTATGCTCGCCTTCCCGACGAAGTCAGGAAGGAAAGATCTAGAAAACAGAATATAAAAACAAAGCAAAGGTATCTAGATGATCCTGAGTTTAGGCAGAGGCGTCTAGATTATGCTCGCAATCACTACTATGCAAAGAAAGCTAAGCAATCTGCTGCTACTGTTTCTAATGCAAAGTCTGCTGATGTTTCTGATGCCAGTTCTTAGCCTAATGCTGCTGCCAAATCAGAACTATTTCTTGTTCACGTCAGGATCATAGTGAATCTGAGATTTCCTGTAGACCCTCTTCATTTCCTTATACATCCTATAAGTTGCACTTACGTCTACTCTAGGGTCGATAGGTACTGAGCAGTTCTCTGGATCAGGACAGCAGTGAAGCATGTCAACATGGTCTTTACAGAACGGTAGTCCATTGAGGGAATACATAACCTGTTTAACTTTGCACCGTCCGAACATGCAAGGTGGTGAAAAATCCCCGTACTTAGCACCAAGTTCCCTGAACCGCTTTGCTTTGGGAAACTTAATCACTCCAACATTAGGCCACCGAGGTTGTTGCTGGGGTTGAGGATTGGGTTGCTGCTGGGGTTGGGGATTGGGTTGCTGCTGGGGTTGGGGATTGGGTTGCTGCTGGGGTTGGGGATTGGGTTGCTGCTGAGGTTGGGGATTGGGTTGCTGCTGGGGGTGCTGCTGGGGGTGCTGCTGGGGTTGCTCCTCTCCTTGGGGATTGGGTTGCTGCTCTGCTTGCTGCTCTCCCTGCTGCTGATTTACTTCTTCCCCGTCATCTCCTACTGATTCTTGGTCAGATCTGACCCCAAAATTCAGATGAGAACCATCTGGACGCTGAGTACCATCTATATAAAAGTTTCCTACGAGAAGTCGAAGCAATCTGACCAGGAAGTATGTGCGTGTTTGATAGATGTAGAGCCGTGCTTGAGCTGCAATTGTCTCGGGAGGAGTCAGTGGCTGGTGTCTGTTCTCTACAGAATACCAGAAGGCGTCGAACTCAGCATCTGCGAGAGCCCTCCTTAATCTAAAGCGGATTCGCCTTGCTGCCCAATATGTGAACAGTCCAAGCAGCCAGCCGGCAAAGAACCATCCCAGCACTATCCTTGTTGCAGAATAATGCTCGCCATCCACAACGAACACATCCCATATCTGCTTCACGATATTTGGAGGGGCTGGACACTGCTGCTGAGAGTCCGCCATTGTCCTTGCTTGCTCCTCGCAGAATGCCTTCCTCTTCGCAAATGGTTTCTCAGAATGACTTGCTGGAAAGAATGGTTTCCCAGAAATCATTCTGCCCGTGAAACGATTTCCGCAAAACGATTCTGAGTCTCAAATGATTTTCAAAAATGATTTCCACCGTCAGATATTGACAAAATCATTTCCACCGTCCGATCTAGGGTTCTGGCAACCGAAAAGGGCGGTCACGCGGTCGGCGGTTTCAACCGCTGAAAGAAAAAAGGAAAACCGTCGACGCTCGGAGTCTACGGAGTATTAGATAAGAACGACGACGCCATGTGAGCTCGCTGAAGCCCAGTGTCGACACGGTCTGCACCGCGACCAATACCTCTGATTACTTTATTCACTGCCTCAGCACCGCGAGCTCCTTTAGTACCACCAATCGCAGAACCCAAGTGACTGCTCAAGTGCTGCAGAAGTGGACTAGTACTGTGGAAAATATTGTTTGCATGGTGAACTCCGATCGCCGCTCTTTTCAAAACGTTCTGCCCAAAGTGCAATCCTTTCTAAAGAGTCTTTCCTAAGCTTCCGAACATGTTTATAACTTATGATTAGATTATTTACGCATGTACTTACTGATAAATCCGACCTTCTTCATGGAAACCAGATTTTTCATAGCAAGTAACATTTCATTTTTCTTTTCTTTGTAAGTTGTCATCTTTAGGACAAGGGTAAAATCGTTGATCTGTGGCAGACTGTTCCGTTGGAGGTCTGTAATCTCCACATGCAATTGACTTATGTTCTTATCTTGGAGCTGGAGCTCGTATGGTGCTCCGACAATATAGTTAAACGGAGAGAACGCTTGACTGGTCGACCAGGGTATTAAACCCAGAATGGTAGAGTTTACTACTTGCCCGTTGCTAAAATTATCATAAGTCTGCCTCGCCAGACTCATTCCGTACATGTGAATGGCGATGTTGTTAACAGAGAATCTGAAGTCCAGCACTTGAGTGCTGTGGATCGTACTGCTTATGCTGCTGGTCAGACTCGTGAATCCAAATGTCTGAGCGTGTGTTGGGTTCTCAAAACTAATCTGATAATTTTCAGTGAAATTGAAAGAAAGTATCTTCTGATTCCTCATGTACAAACACTTGCAAGATGAGAACTGAGCGGAGACTTGGGCAGCAAAATCAACGTAGTTGTATGTCCCGCTTAAGATGTTTACCTCTGTCGTTATTCCTGTGCTAATCTGATGGAAAAAAATGGTATTGTTGGTATCATTAATCACGTAAGCATCATTACGGTTAAAGCAACAAAGCAAAAGCGAGATGCTCATTGTTTCGTCGTTTTCGCAGGTTAAAACATTGATGTCAAAATTAAACGTCTGTATGGTCTGCGAGCTGTCTGAATTCAGGTACACTATCTGAGTCCCAATCACCTCTGTCGTGTCTGTCATATTACCTTATATTTAGATTTTCATACCCATCGTAGAACATTTGAAGCCATATATTGCTTGAATAATGCATCTCACACCGTCGTCGCCAACGTGCTTACACTTCCCAGGCATCTTGACACTCTGGTCTCAGAGTCTCTAATAAAAATCGATTTTTTTCTGCGATCATATTTTTTCCATTATGAGAGTAAGCTGCCAGTTCGCTGTGATTGGTGTTGTGCTGGTATACCTGGATAGTTCGACAGTGATGGTCTTATTAGCAAAGAGACTAGAGTCCGTGATAACCAGTGGTCTCAAATCCTTTTGCAGATGATTTCCTAGCACACTGCACAGTGTCGAATCGTTGTTTCGATTGTACGAAGCAAAAGATCTAGTCTGCATCAGCTCCAAGATTGCCACGTTCGTAATCGTATTCACTGTTCCCTCGATCAAGAATTTTCAACGAAGAGGTGGTAATTTCCTTCTGCCACCAGATTCGGAACGTCCACGTGGAATACGAATTGGTTGTTCATCCCGTTAGACAGAGCGTCCTGACTGTCCAGAATGATCTTGTAAGGGCGGGGGGTTGGTATTCCAATGAAAGAGTCGTGCTTTAATGAACTATAAGTGTTGGCATATGCAATTTGCCTGTTCTCCATTTAATCTTTTGCTTCGATTTTTATTTGACTGTTTTTTTCAACTTGTCTTCCAATCGTTTCTTCTTAGCGTGAGCTTTGTTCATCCTTTCGAGACTGACCCCCTCGTCGATAGCAAAGACTGAAGCAAGCATGTTTGCATAAGCGTCCTCGATCGAAGGGTCGAATTCCTTCAACTCTTTGAGTGCTCTCTCATGCCGTTCTTGTCTCTTATCCATTTCCAGCAATTCTTCCTTCGTAAACTCAGCACGCTCCGCGACTTTCGTTTCGCTCTCCACTTTGATTGCTTCGATCTCCTGCTCTATCTTTTGAATTTCCAGAGCGGTCTCTTCTTCCTTTAGAATGTCCAGCAGTGTGTCCTCACTTAGTTTAGTCATAGTTATTATATGATGATAAAATAAAATGACGATTAAGACGAAGTCGCTGAAGCATCTGGTGCTCAAGGAACTTAAAAACAATAAACCTTTGTACCAAGACGTCCCCTTCCCAAAAGATTTGTTTGTTCCTTATGGTTTGGTCTCGTTGATAGGAGGTCTTGGAAGTGGAAAGACGACCTACCTACTGAAGACGCTTCAGTTGTACGAGACAACGAAGACCTTCGACAAGATCTTTTACTATTCGCCCACCATAGGTTATGAGGAAAAGCGTGAGTATCTGCCTGAGTGCACCGAGGTCTTTGAAGATTTCACCCTTGACCTGTTTTTAAAGCACAAAGAATTCATCAGAAAGGAGATCGAGGATTACAAGATTGTTATATACTACATGGAGATCTACTACAAAGCCATGAGAGGTCAGCATATATCACATTCTGAACAACTTATTCTCGAGAGCAACGACTACGAACCTATGACTACTGATTACAAGCATATGCCCTGCTTCTGTATGGTCTATGATGACCTACAATCAAACAGATTGATTTATTCGCCTAACATGAAGACGTCCGTGAGTCAATTTTTTTTAAATTGTCGTCATTTCAATACCATGTGTATCTTCTCCTGCCAGACGTTTAAGAATGCCATTCCAAAACAATTGAAAAGCAATATTGCGGTCTACATCTTGTTTAAATGCAAAGCATTGAAGCAGCAAAAGGATATTGCAGAAGATCTGGTCGGTGTATGTCCAGTTGAGACCTTCGTTGCGTGTTGGAACTGGGCTTGTGAGGTCAAGTACAGTGCTTTTGTGATGGACAGAAACGCTGACGAACACCTGATGTTTAGACGGAACTTCGACACTCAGATTATACTGGATGATAAGGACGTGAATTTTCATAAAGAAAAATAAATCATGACGGTTATTCATCAATCATTCCATTTCCTTAATACGCTCTATGATTTCCGAATCTTTCTCGGTATAAATCCAAGCCTTGAACATCGAGTGCAATCTTTTGTGGTCGAGCAACTTCATTCCATTGACGTATTCATACGGGTGTTGATCTTTGAATAGTTCAACTACATCATCCATCCTCTCGCTCACTAATTTGTCATTTACTTTGATACCAAAACTAACTTCATAGACTATTATCGAATCGTTCTCTTCGTCTTCATAATAGTCATCAACGGTAGTCTCGACTATCTCGTATGAATTCGCCATTGCTTTAACTATCCGATTTGTCATGGAAAAATAAAAAGTTTTTTTTGAGGGGTTTCGTTCTTAGCTCAAATCAACACCTGGGCGTAGTTTCTTTGGTGAGCCAATGCAACGTACCTTACATGCATCTATGTACATCTGTGGATTGTCGCCCTTGGGTGGATCAGCAAACCCGTGCCCAAATCTACTTGTGGTGTCAGATTCCACCAACTTGTTTCCGTGGCGAAGGTTAGCATTGAAGAACTGCCCGTTAAATCTGCAACGCCTGCACGCGAATCTCCTCGTCTCTATCTTTTTTGGTGAAGTGGTTGTTAATTGTCTTCATGGGTACAGTAGGTTCAGGATAAAGGACACTTTTCGTTAACCCAGCGGTCGCGAATGGATACGGTGATATGCTCATACTTTATAATAAAGTGAGATTTAAAAAAAAAGAAGTGGATGATCACCACACGACCCTCAAGTTCCTCCCTGCACCGACCTCAAGGATACCATCACAGCATGCGAAAACGTACGGAAGGTATGAACCAGTACCAGCCTGTCCATCCATGTTAGACCAACCAGAGTTGGGAGCAACAGGGGCGGGTAGGGTATAACCGCTCCCGACCGTCTGCCAGGCGAGTTGTACTTGATTCCCTGACGTATCCGTTCCACTGATCCACCTGTCAGAAGGACGGCTCGGTTGATCAAAACTGACCATGTGGGCGAAATAATTTTTCTGGAAGTTAGTCAGGTTGCTCATGGTCGACGTAATATGTGTGCCCGCTATATCCTTGGTCAGACCAAGAACGTCAAGGTTGTTCTCATAAATCTCGATGGGCGTCGCAGGCATTGATGGATATTGCACACTGTTCAGAGTGAAGACCGAGGTCGACACGTCATGTCCAACGGAGGTGAAAGCGGTAGAAGAACCTGTCACGGTGTCAAGGAAACCACCTTGATAGGTTGCACCATTCAAAAAACCACCGATCACATGAGAGAGACTCTTAGAGTTGACTGGAACTTTGATCGTCTGGTTGGGTGAGCCAGCAATAGCAGATGTTGAGAAGAAATTGTAGTACTTGAAAGGCAGTTGGAGAGGGGCACGAGACATCTCAGACTCGAGATCGCTCATGTAGCCTGAGTCGCCAAAAGACCACATGTCTACCGTGCACTTCAGGTTATTCAGAATGACGTTCTGGAAACCGCTTACGGAAGGAAGGTAAAGTTCGCTGTTGCTGGCACTCATCTTCAGAGCATTGATCCAGGGTTGAGCCACGGTCAGAGCAACACGTACCTCACCAATGACCTGCGTCGAGATGACACGGGGTTGGATGGACTCGAGCACTTCGCCGAAGTTGGTTAGGCAGAAGGTCGTCGAGGTATTGGCAGTTCCTACAGCAGGAGCAGCAGTTCCAGCAGGACGCACGTCAGTTGCTTTGAGAAGAGCGTTGTTCTTGGTGAAACGCCTCTTGAACGTGTCGTTCGCCATCCAGTTCAATTTAATGTTGTTCAGAAGGTTCAGGTTCTGAGTTCCAGGCACTACTGCTGTACCATTGATCTGAAGTTGGATGTTGGTGAACAGAGACTCGACGTTCGGGGGTGCGAAGTTGGTCGAGTCGAGCTTGTAGTCAAAATAGAGGCGAAGGCTATCTAACGCAATCGTCCCTGAAGGAAGCACGAAGGTGATCGTCTGACCAGATTGCACGTTCTGGGTCTGGGTCGGGTAAAAGGTGAACTTGTTCTTTGAGAAGTCTTTTACGATCTGGCATCCGTACTTCAGAGAAGGATGGATAGGCATTGTTTATAATCTTCGTGCAGATAATTATTCAGACCACGTACATAATATCCGTTTCCATCATATCATTTAATTCCAACCAAGCGGACTTGATATTTTTGTATGGTTCGCCCGTTGTTCTGTTCACGACTCCCAATTCTGACGCAAACCTCAAAAGTCGTTTCCTAAGTTCCGCTTTCTCCTTTACTTTCCTTTTTATTATACTTTGCTCGTATGCTTCGGTCAGTTCAAACCATTCCTTTCTGAAAGGAGTCAGATCGACTTTCTCTATTGTGAGAGGAATCTCCTGTGGTGCTTTTTCTTTCGACTTGCTACGGGTTCTTCTAGGAGATACGACCTCGCTCTGTTCTTCCTCCGCTTCTTTCCTTGACTGTTCTTCTGCATATCTAATTGCTTCTTCCTCTGCTTCTCTTCTACGTGCTTCTTCCTCTGCTTGTCTCTCGTGCTCCGCCCATTTCTTAAATTGAGCCTCCTGGAACTTCCGCTTCAATTCTTGCAGTCTTTCCAATTCAATCTTCTCCTGTTGCTGCTGTATCTCGAGTTTCTTTTTCTGTAATTTTAGTTTTTTCTCCTTGATCAGGTCTTTCATCAACCTGTTAAAGAATGCTGACTGGGACTGAGGTTGGTCATTGGCACTTATAAACTCCTCCCACCCGCTTGGTAAATCCTCGCCAGCGTGTACCACAGGAAAGGGCGTGATCTCTAGTGCTCTTATACTTCCCACGGGCATGGAGGGGATGAAATCACAATCACAGCGTCTGTCCATTAAGGTCTCGAGAGAAAAAAATTGAATTTTACTTAGGATGGGAGGATAGCGAGACAAGATGCCGTCGAGGTGCAAACACATTGGCAATGATGGGGTGAAATGCACCACTCAAGCTACATATGGTTTTCAACGACCGCCTCAAAGATGCGGAACGCATAAACAGACAGGGATGAAGGATGTTCATAGCCGAAAATGCGGACATGATGGATGCGAATCATTAAAACCAAGTTTTAACGACGCTGGGAAGAAGACTGGGCGGCTATGTGGAGAGCATAAAAAACCAGGAATGATAAACGTTGCTGAAAGAAGACGGTGCAGACATGATGGTTGTGTCAAGGTGTCATGCTTTAATGAGTCTGGACAGAAGAAGGGTATATTTTGTGAAACGCACGCACTGCCAGGAATGAAGGATGTTAGAAATTCTAAATGCAAACATGGTGGGTGCGAAATACAACCAAATTTCAACATTCCTGGAAAGAAGAAAGGTGAGTACTGTGAAACTCACGCTGATCCAGAAATGACAAATGTTAAGTCTCCACGATGCAAGTCCGACCATTGCAACATGATCATTTCAAACAAGTTCGAAGGATATTGCTTTTACTGCTTCATCAACCTTCACCCCGACGAGCCACTCGTGAGAAATTGTCTGGTCAAGGAACTTGTTCTGAAAAAAGCCTTGAGCGAAGGGTTGAAAGACAACAGATTTGTTCACAACAAATCCATTCGGGTCGAGATCGAATATGGTATTTACTCCTACAAACGCCCCGACTTCTACTTCGAAGAAGACGACCATGTCATCATCATCGAAAACGACGAAAATCAACACAAAGATTCTCACTACTCCGACGAACCTGGAAGATATGACGCCATCTGCAGAGCCCTGAAGAAGCGTGTCGTCGTTCTTCGCTTCAATCCCGACAAGTACCTCGACAAGGATCAGAATAGACATGTGTCATGCTTCGCTACAAACAAGGAGACCCGTATCATGTATTTGAAGAACAAACCTGAATACGAGAGGCGGGTTTCTAAACTCGTCGAGAGATTCCTGCACCACGCCAACAATGCACCGACCAAGGAGTTCACGGAGGAGAAGTTGTTCTATGACGGTTATTGATTTTTTTCCTCATAAGATTCCTTGGAAAATCCAGTTCATATAGACTGTCGGGTTTCCACTTATAGCGTTGATGTTGAAGACTATACCATTGCTCATGCTCGGGATACTGTAGTTGTTGACTGACATATTGTTGTTCATGAAGGATTGCTGTACAAACGTACCAGTTTGCCCAGCTAATCTACTGAGGTTGAGTGTTAGCATACACGAGACTGGATTAATCACAGTTGTTTTCATAAAGACCAGTAATTGACCCATACAAGTCGAAGATCCGCTGCCCCAAATCTGCGAGGTATCGAGATACCCTTGCGTCGCCGTGCTGAATGTGATATACCCTCCTGGATTTGTGATGATTACAGGCGTGCTGCCAACTTGATTGTAGCTCGGAATGTTGAAAGCATCATAACCGATTGAGAACCCGTTCGCAGAGTGAGAGGATGTTAATGAATTGTTCACGGCAGTTCGCACCGAACCCCCAGACGTAGCATTCACTGATGTCAGTGTTCCTGACGAACTTTGTGTAAGAGCATAACCAGTGGTGCTGAAACAGTTCACATTTCCAAAACTGGCGTCTCCACTGAAAGCACTACCTACTTGAGCCAGTTGTATAATCGCTCCGTTTCTAAATTTCGAACTACCATCATCGTACAAAACGAGATTCGAAGCAGTTTGAGCAGAGTTCAACCAAACCATTTGAGGCTTCTGAGTGCATAGAACACCTGTTCCGTTGAGTTGAAGATAACCTTGAACATTAAGTTGATTTGTCACGTTGACCATTCCTCCTACGTTCAAGTTTCCAAGATTTGAACAATTACCGTTGGTATCAACGGAGAGCAGATTAGACCATGTTGTATAGTTCGAATTGAAGGGTTTACATACGTTGAAAGCAGCCGCAGAATAACTACCACTGATGACGGCTCTCACTTGACCACCAGCCCACTGACCAAATCCGTACCGATCACTTCCACCATAATTTGCAACAGTCATCCATCCAGGGTCTGAAGCAGGAAATTGAAGTCCTCCAGTAGCACATGTTGCAACTCCGTTGACGCAATTGGACGCGTTGATAGCGGCGTTCGATACGGTAGTGAAAGCGGGCGAGGTATTACTTAAAACCGCGGGTACACCTGTCAAGTAAGAGTATGCCAAGTTTCCTTGTAGCGTGGTACAGTTAACAGTTCCACCCACGTCTAACGTATACCCAGGTGAAGCGTTATTGATACCTACGTACCCAGTGGAATAGGGTATCGTAAGAGGTCTGAGACTGTTCGAAGCACCATTCGATGTTCCAGAGAATAACATGTAGTAAGAACTTCCGTCGTAGCGGTGTATCATGCTGTTGTTAGTTGAACCATACCAGTAGCGTGTATGACCAGCACCATCATACCCAAACAGACTGTTAGACCCTGCTATTGTGTTTCCAGCGATAACATTCGAAGTTTGAATGAGATTTCTGACATAAAGGTTTCCCGTGTCGCAAGTTAGCGACATCATGCAGTTCTCAGCGATGTTCTCCCATATCCACCCTTGTTGTGTCCCATTTCCTGCCCTTACTCTGACATGGTGAGAGGTACGTCCATCAAGACTCGTACATGCTGTATTTGATGCAGCACTCTTACCAGCACCAGACTGACACATATACATTGACCAATTTGCATCTCCACTGTCCCAAAATCTGAGTCCTTTCTGATAACCCGTATCGCTTTGAGTGTTGATGCTAGTTATACCATACGAAGTAAGAGTGCCGCTATTAGACATATTTCCAGCAGCATTAAGAACTCCCGCAATGTTAACATTTCCAGAATTTGATAAAGTTGTACTTGCTATTGTTCCAGAATTAGAGAGAGTCGCCGATGAGATGAAACCACCCACCTGCAGGTTGCCCGCATTGGACAGATTACCTAGGAAAGTCGTGTCTCCAGTCCTACAATTGAAGAGATGTCTTTCTGTAGAGTCTATCAAACACCTGAAACTCAGTCCATACCAACTCGCAAGCCCCCCTTGATTTGATGACCCCCCTCCGTTGCTGCTAAAGGTTGCACCATCAACCCCGTTAGCCCACACATGTACACCAAAGTTCGTGTCGCTGTTTAGACCGACGCAAAAGTTGCTGGTGTACATTCTGAGAGTATTCGATGGCGTCTGCAGACTGTAGACCGAAAGCGACGTGTTTGAAATTCCGATATGACTAGACTGATTGTTAGAAGCGAAGTATGCCTGATTGGACGTGTACTGATACTGTGTTAGGGTACTGTAAGATGCCAGACTGTTTGAACCGAAGTATGCCTGATTGGACGTGTACTGATATTGTGTTAGGGTACTGTAAGATGCCAGACTGTTCGAACCGAAGTATGCCTGATTGGACGTGTATTGATATTGAGCAAGACTCGCAAATGAAGGTACTCCCGTCAAATAGCCCCAAGCAAGCGACCCCGCAAACATGGTCGCTACTGCAGTGCCGTTAACTTCTAAGGGATAACCTGGTGTGGTAGTGCCTATACCGAGACGCCCACCTACTGTAGCGTTGCCCGACACGTTTGCCGTTCCATTTACATCGAGAGTCGCCGAGGGTGTAGTAGTACAGACCCCGAACCGTCCGTTGCCCATACAGTTGAATGATGCCGAACCAAGAGATTGTCCCCACATCCCTATTGCTCCATAATTACTAGGACTTGCGTTCGAATAATATGAGAATGCATGCCAACTAGTATTGTAATTTGAAAGGGTGTTGACCCCTACGTTAAGCAGATGGTAACTGTTAGAATTCAGCGAAGGCGTGTAGAGTGATGACGAAATTCCGCTGGTTATGGTCATATTACTGGTTAAAGCGAGACCTCCAGAAATCGTGGTAGCACCAGCGGCGAGCGTCCCTGTGAACGTCGCGTTTCCTCCGACAGAGATGTTAGAGCCGAGAGTGAGGTTTGAGCGAATATTTACATGGTTATTCGACGTCTGAAGCCCGTTGAGTTGGAACAGACCGTTCGATGTGGTGGTCAGGCTATAGGTATTGAGGGTTAAATTTGAATTCTGATTAGAGTCCCTGTATACGATACACGAGTCTTTGATGACAGTACTCCACTGTCCGATTTCCATGTATGAAGCTTGGTCTTTCAGTTTGATGAAACCTTGAGTAAAATTCATGAGGGTAGTTAGTCCACTGTCTGCAGACTGAAGCAGACTCGAGACAGCACCAGCCCCGTTGAAAGCTTGAAATGCACCGAAGCCTAAGCCCGCTGCTCCCAACACTGTTCCACCGACAGCGAGGGCGTTGGTCGTAGAATCGAAACTGGGTTTATTTGTTAGACTGGAGTAGTCGATCGCGACTGAACTCAGTCTGTAATTCGAAAACGAATTTGAAGAATATATGCCGATGTTGCTGGCGAAGACGCTTGTGTTCGATCCAAAGGTAGAGCGGTTTGTGTTGCTGTTGATTAGAGCATACGAGGAATTCGAAATCGTTGGAAAATTGTTTGACGACCATAAAGATGTGTTGCTTCCAAAATTTGCATTCGAGTAGACAGCATTTGAAAAGGTTGTGAAATTGTTGCTCGACCAGACGTATTGCTTCCAAAATTTGCATTCGAGTAGACAGCGTTTGAAAAGGTTGTGAGATTATTGCTCGACCAGACAGACATATTGCTTCCAAAATTTGCATTCGAGTAGACAGTATTTGAAAAGGTTGTGAAATTATTGCTCGACCAGACAGAGGTGTTGCTTGACCAGACAGAGGTATTGCTTCCAAAATTAGCATTGCTGTAGATTGAGTTTGAGAATGTTGTGAAATAATTGCTCGACCAGACAGAGGTGTTGCTTCCAAAAGTTGCGTTGCTGTAGATTGAATTTGAGAAGGACGTAATCGTAGCAGTGGATGCAAGAGTATTAATCTGAT